TTCCTGTATTAACCCTTTATAAAGCCCACCTGCTTTATCACACTAGAACTCTACATACAGTGCATTTCTGTGTTCCGTATAGTCCTCACAATAAACATCTGTTTCCCCAAACAGCACTAACCGGTTTGTCCTTATAGAGGAGACGTAATGTGTTTCCTATGAGATACGAACTGAATTTGTATATACTATTTAGATGAAATTCAGTATTTAAAGGGTTAAACGACCTGCAAAAGCAACATCGCTTAGTTTATACTTATCAAGTCTGATTTTGAATAATTTAAAAGTTACAAAGCAAACACTATCTCTCTATCGCGTTTTTAATCCGATGAACATAGAAATTTAAATGAAAGAAGTCAGGAACTCAGCTAATTAACGTATAACCGTTACGCTAATCATGGATGAACGAAGTTACCATGCTAAGGCAGCTGGGTATCCATTGTATTTTCGTATAGAGTACACGGACGTGTTAAACAACCAAAAGGAGGAACAGAGATAAGATAGACAATTACTGTGAAGTTTGGCTGCTAGTAAGTCGGTAGCGATGTGCCTATCATGTTGAAGGGGGGAACTGAAGAGATTGAGGGCCCTTCTTCTCCAAAGCAACTGGTGATCTCATCGGAGTTGGTTCAGTTACACACGACTCCTCCGAGGAGACTGGAACAGGAAGGTAAACTTAGAAGGTAAGCCCGTTGGGGCCATGAACACCTTCATCTCATCAGCATCACAGTTTACCCCACACCAGTGAAAAGGCTTCGGCTAAGACGGAATCTCTTCAAGTAAATGTGAAGGACTTACCTATCACATGGCTTGTATCACAAATGAACCACTGGAGTGCGAGAGAACTTCAGAATCGAGATTACTGATTCTTATCTTTCGTCTCTGCAGCGCACATGTTGGTATGTTGCCGACATTTCGGGGACATATGCTGCCTCCACCTTCGGTGTCGAAGCAGGATGAGTGAGTTCATGAACATGTAAACCTAAGTTCTAGTCCAAGAGACCCAGGGGGAGAGGGTGAGGACTGCAGCCCGATCCGGGACAATACAGAAGGTGAATTTACTCTACTACTCTTCTTCCTGTCTCCTTCATACTTGGCGTATTCTTTGATCCTGAAGACAGAAGCGACATGTCCCTCCGAAACGTAGGATGACTTTCACCGGATTGCAAGACGTTATATCCCACAAAAAAAAACTGTTCATAACCACCGCTGTGAGAACCCCAAACATCTGTAATTTGTAATGCAGAATTCAATTTGGAGTAGGCATATATTCACGGGTTTCTTGCATCTAGGGAAAGAGCGCGCAGACATGCTACAGGGTCCACCCAGCCTTCCAGCCAAAAGGAACCGGTGGGAGACAGACCTTACCATAGGGAAAAGCGGTGGGAGCCTGAAGCTGTCCACTCACTCATGTAAACCCAACTTAAGAATGAGTGGAGCCACATCTTCACTCCCTCAGATGTCATGGAATTTCGCTAAATTACTGACCTGGGATATGAGTCAGTACAGTGTCTGAACTACAGGCCGGACGTCTGGGGAAGGGACGTTCCTCTCCTCAAGCGCACCAGCACAGACTCTGGGGTCCATACAGCCTCCTACCCTATGGATAACAGAGACTTATTTACCAGGGCTAAAGAAGGCTGAGTGTTAAACTAACAACTCATCACAAGGAGCAGCGATTAAGAATGAATGTAGTTATAGTTGTCAATCCTAGTTCTGTATCTTCATGGCGTGGTATTATTGGAAAAAAAAAAAACAGCTCCGTCAGTACAGTGACTCGGCGACCGGGAGTCGTCTTTTAGCAAGATGAATGATTTTTCTTTTGGTTACAGCGACCAGATCGCTTCTGGGTTCCACCAACCCTGACATCAAACTAGTACCAAGAGCAGTAAAGCAGATGGAGCGTGAAACTGTCCATTCACCTCAATCCACTTCCCAGTTTTATGATACTGTCACGTATTTGGGGGTGAGCACTTTGATTCGATAATTGGATTTATAGACACCTTATACAAACAACTCGACACTACAAATAATACACCGTTATCGCTGATCTACACACTTTACAATTCACTGTTACACACACATTAATGTTCTCAGTCTTCACTAGTCGTATCCTGGCAACGGATTTATAATTGTCTGTCACTTCTAATCACACATGAAGTCCTCTTTACAGAGCCCAATTCCTTCCTTGCCATCTCTTCTCAATTATATTCTACTGCCATCTCCAGAACTCAATTCAATTCCTCTGTTCCCAGGCGTTTATCCTGGCAGGCTGGCGTCTCGAAACTGACTTAAAAGATCTTCCTTGTCACGGTTCCATAAAATTCCGGGAATCTCCTAAATAAACTATCAGCCTCTCAAGAAGGACTCAATTCCATGAAATTTGTTTGTTGATTTGTTTGTTAGTGTAACAGACTAAAGAAGGACAACATATGAAGGCTAAAATTAAACAATATTCACCTCAGTGTTGGTCAAGGAAAAGCTCTGATATAAACACGTATTAGTTATAGTTGTCACAATTAGCACATGGATCAGATGAAGCATTCCAGTCTTCACAGACAAGCAACTACACTCACTCAAACGCCAGTACGGCGGTCTGCGCGCGAACTGCAATCTTAACCAACACACTGATACATATATAGAGTAACAAGAAGTTCTGCATACTTTCCTTTGATACGACATGGACTGAATAAAAAAACTCCGTGCCTGTAGTCCGCAAGCGAACTATACCGACCGAGCGACCGCCGCTTGTCGGCGAAGTTAGTGCCAACTTTAGCGGATAGAGGATGTCGCGTGGTCAGGGCAATGAATCCCCACGGCCGTTAATCTGCTTTCTAGACCGGAGCCGCTATTTCCCTGAAACAGCTCCTCAGTTATCCTCACGAGGCTGAGTGGACCCCGTTCCACACCAACTACTTCTCAGAAAATCTGGTAGCGCCAGGAATCTAACCGGGGACATCTGGATTTGTAGCTAGGAACTCTGACCACTAGACCACAGAGGCGGTGATCTCGTAAACCTAAAAAATGTGGAGACACTTACAGATGGACAGACACGCGAATATGGACAGCAAGGCGATCTCTTAAGCTTCCTTTTGTTTGTTTCTTTTTTCAAATTAAGGAAAGTACGAGTAGACCATTAAATGTGAGGAAGGTACACAAGGAAATCATGGAATCATTTAACCACAAAACCTTTCTCATTGTCAATATACGTGTATTTCTATATCATAAAAAGGGTAAATCTATCGCTGTAACAGGCCGTGGAATCCCATTGGATTGTGAGACGTCGAAGTTCCCACATTTTCTAGATAATCGGTCCACAGATGGCGGTGGGATTGTAGGCCTTACGAGCAGGCCGCCCTTAACCCCCAGGGCCAAAGTGTGGCTGGAATGATTAGGTCAATTGAAAATAAAATCCAATGACCTCATCCGGAATCGAACACGCAACTTTTCGCTTTAATGGCTCTGCAAACCTCATCCGTTTCATTGGTGGACAGACAGACTGAGAGGCTACGTTGCCATTTCATTCTCAGGATTTGACGGCAGTGCATTCGGATTGAGACACTCTGGTCTGTGACACCGTGTGGATACTGACGTTTCGGAAGAACATGCTGCCTTCAGGTTCCGGACAGATCTTGAAGACGCAGACAGCATGCCCCTCCGAAACATTCTGCACGGTGTCAAATCCCAGGGTTCATCAACTTTAATAAGGCCTACTGCTGAAAATAATATCACACTACATACATCAATCAGCGATCTTACATTTCCTTATGGGTCTAACATAAATCGTTACACATTCATATCGAAATATATTTCAAATATGTGTTCTGGGAACGGTATGGTATTCATAAAATTCACAATTTTTGTCACGAACATAGCCAACGTTAAATGGGCAGTCCCTTTAAAATTGTTCCAGAATTTGAGTCAAGCTTCAAGTAAAGCACAGGTCGAATTGGGCCGATAAAGAATCGCTTCGTCATTCTCAGGCGCGCTCTTTTCCATATAGAGTTTACACTGAAATTCGTCAATAAGCGTCTGGGATGCAACATGCAAGAAGGTATCTAGCCCTTATAAGAGCATTTTACACAATCGCACTTCGTGCACAAGGAGGCGCATAAAGAGAAGAAACCTCAGAAGAACACTCATTGAGGAGATATAATGTGCAGCCCGTTCAAAGTCAAACCGCATGCTATAACATAAATGTCCAGGTAGACCGCAGATTAAAGATTAGATTAAGTTAGGTTGGGTTATGAAGAATGGCGTCTTCTGGGATGTGGCGCCGTGTAGATATTGTATATGCCGACGTTTCGATCTTCAGGGAAGAAAAAAAAAATCGCGATCGATAAACCAGCGTGATCAGGTGGCTGTGAAGATGGAGGCGATACGTTCCTCCGAAACGTTGGCTTACACAAGATCTACACTGCGCCACATCCCAGAAACGACATTCTTCATAGTCACAGCCGTGAAAACCTAAAATATTACAAAAGTTAAGTTAGGTTAGCGGACATATTATCGTGGGCTGCAAGATTTATTTCTTCTAAGGAAATTAAATATAAATATATATATATAATTGTTTTATGATAAATACTCCGTTAGACCGCATGCTATAGTGTAAAACTTCAAGTAGACTTCACGCTGAAGTAGCACCTTTTAAGCTTATTGACTTTTTCTTTTGCATTCTGTGCTGTAAATTGGAGGCTGATGGTCTAGAAGATTCTTCTTTTTCATAATACTTCCTCGTTCATAATAAATCGACTCGTTTCCAAGATGTACAAACAAAAATTCTACCATTCAAGAAGTAGAGATTACCCCTCATTTGAAATAAGCCTTTAACACATTAAAGCATGCATTAAAGTATAGGTTAGCTTACATTATCATAAGTTACTATGCTTAATTATCTAGAATGACCTAAGTTTATATGCCACATGGTGTGCTGAGGAATATACACCACGTTTTACATCTTATACCAATTTTAACTTCCACATTTTCATTTAAAATGCACGTACCTCTTTGACTGCATTGTAGTTCCTCTAATCCCCTTATTGAGATTTCCAACATCTGCTTTCCACGTAACATGAAACATATTTACTGCGATTACATCTTACTCAGCTCACTATAATCTTTACATAATCGTCTGCGAAACATGGCTAAGGCTACAACAGCTTTCTTACGATAATTTCTCGTACACCTAAATCACTTGTCACATAACCTCCATATTCAACACGACATACGTAATGTTCACACGTTATACCCACAATAACCTACTAGCAAGCACACGCAGTATTTCTGACTTCTTAACACAGATAAATCTTTCGTATTTTTACTTAATAAAACACTATTACACGCCTAGGTTACACAACACACGTTCCATTTAACAGCGTCTTTCGACTCAGCACCCTGCAAGCTGTCCGTAGTAGCTAGCAGACGGATGGCCAGTTATGCACTACCCTTGAAAGCACTACTATCCCCCCTCCCTTCTCATCCTTCCCTTCCCCTCCCGCTCGTAGGCATACAGCGGTGTTCCCTTTGTCCGCCGCAGAGGCTTGGACCTGAATTCCATGTCTATTATGTATTTGGGGAAAAGGTAGACAACGAGAAACTTCCAGCAGTTTAAAAACCTTGCCTCATGTTATATTGAAAGACTTTTCCTTCGCTTGCAAGCAGTAAACAGACTTGTCTGAACACGTCAGCGCATGTGACAAACAGTTGAAATATTTCGCTTTCTTCGGGCTCCTGTGACTCTACAGTAACATCTTCATGTCTGGGAACTCCAACCGCGTGCTTCACAAACTGTTACGCACAACTATGCTCTTGCAGGATTTGATCTGCTTGCCACCTGCTGTCACACTGGTTTCTTGCTTGGTTTACTCTTCGACCCTGAATATGGAGGCGGAATGTTCTTTCGAAATGTCGGTTGACTTTGAACTGTATATACGGCGTGATATCCCAGAAGATAAAACTCTTTTAACATTCTTGTTTGCTGCTTGTTTCACTCTGGTTTCTTGCTTCCACCCTGAAGATGGAGGCGACATGTTCCTCCGAAATGTCAGTTGACTTTCGACGGCGTCATATCCCAGGATACAGAACTCTTACTTACTTACTCATGGAGCTGAGCCCTTCTGGAGAAGCCGCCAATTCTGCAGCTACTCAACAATTTCCAAGCATTTTATGGAACCCGAAGGTTCATCACCGTGTTCACAAGAGCCCTCCACTGGTCCATATCCTGAGCCAGATTTATCCAATCCATACCGTCCCATCCTATCTCTCTAAGATCCATTCTAATATTGTCCACCCAACTACGCCTTGGTCTTCCCTGTGGTCTCTTTCCTTCTGGCTTTCCAACGAATATCTTATACGCATTCCTCGTCTCCCCCCATTCGTGCTACATGTCTTGCCCACCGGATACAGAACTCTTCTTGACATAATTCTTGTCCTTACTGCTAAATGACAAGAAACGGTCCAAATAACATGGTCTTAGAGGTAACCCTCTACACGCCTGTTCGGCAGATGCGTGGTTCGAACCTCAGCCAGAAAACCGCCTATCCTTACTGAGGTTTCCGGTTGTTTTAATCAGTCCCTTTAGGCAGAGACCAAGACAGTACCTCGATCATGCCGCAACAGCTTCCTCCCAAGTCCCTTCCAATTCACCATTTGTCTATCCTACGATTCGGCGTTATATGGCCTCGGTCGGTAGGTTAAATTGTTGCTGGCCGTCGCCAGCACAGTCATTCTTGGCTTCACGTCTCGTCAAGATCTATGACCTTCTGTCGTCTCCTAGACATGTATGTGTTCAGAAGTGTAGCCCCATCTTCGACGGTGAGAGGGGTGAGGTCTTTCTGTTTGGGGCTAAGTTTGTTGTAGACGTTGTTAAAAACCGCCATGACAGCCAATGTCTCAAGTTTCTTGGTTTTAACTTTGCCCATTATTTTACTTGATGCCATACAAGTGAGAGAGGAGCCGGGACAGTCAGTATAGCGACCGACGGTTCGGGGTTCTAGTCCCGGTAGGGTTAAGAATTTTCACTTCCCCAAGTCAAGATCGGTTCTGGGGTCCATTCAACCTCCTATACAATGGGTACAGGCAGCTTTTTCTCGCGGGTAAACCGGCCAAGGCGTGAAGCTGACCACTCACCTCCAACTAATGCCGAGGTCAAGAAAATGTAGAGCTATACATCCACTCCCCCATACGCCTTCGCGGCTTAGTGCTTAGTTAAGCGCAGGGACAACTTTACCTTCTTACCATACAAATGAAGGTCGCGTGACCTCGGAGAGTGAACCTTTGAAGTGGGAATAATAAGTCTATCGTTGCAGGAGGGGGACTACTACATAACGAGGAGCTCCATAAATTCTTTTATTAGGATAGAATGGAAGGGGAATGTAGTAAGCACGCGAGAGGAAAAAAATACATGTGGTACATAGTGGACTTTACGAATTTTCCCTTCTCCTTCTCATCCAGACCGGCTCTGGGACCCACACAGCCTCCTATCCAATGGGTTCCGGGGGCTCCTTCCCTGAGGTAAAGCGACCGAGGCGTGAAGCTGACCACCCACCTCAATCTAATGCCGAAGTCAAGAATGGTAGATCTATGCCTCCACTCCCCCATACATCTTCATGGGCTGATGTTTATTAATAAGTATAGGGCCAACTTTACCCTTTTTACCTTTTATTTGTTTTACCTGAGTTCATACAGCACAGGGAAACATAGGATCGGTGGTAAAGCTGAAACAATGAGCTCGCAACACTGAGAACTTGTTTTGAATACCGAATCATTCAACAAGGTCAGTGATATCGCTGCCAAGAGTTTGAAACCTGTTATACAGCTGCGAGACATTATACCAACTTTGCATCAGATAATAAGCAAACTGACTCCAATAAGCTACTTGCAGTGTTGAATGCTATAAACATTGCGAGCGGAAGTGTGTGCTCCTTAATGAAGTACACGTTTTATACTTTTGTTTGCGAATTTGAAGACCAACCTCTGGTCCTTCAGACTGGGGAATGGAGTCCACCGACAATTCGTAATGACGAGGTTCTGCGCCGTATAAAGAAAGATGAATGGAAAAATACTGGGAGAAGGGATTACTATGACGACTGGAGATAAGGGAAGGAGGAAAACAACAGGTACAATGCCCTTAAATGATCTCTAATCTGACATGTCAAGATAATAGAATATCAGGCAACACAATACCTTCAGCGACCTCTTACGTCTGAGCAGAAACACTGCTGGCTATCGGGGTGGACGATCTGGGATCAGTTCCCGGCAGAGGCAGAAGTTTCGGTTTCCGCCATGTTCACACGGACTACGTGGTTCAGGTCTCCTCTAGCCAGCGAAACGGAGGTTATTGCCCCCGGAGGCAGAACGACGGAAACATGAACCTCTCTCTTTTATGAAATGCATCCTGTTGTGTGTCATTTTCGAAAAGATACAATTTTGGGCAGTCGCACAATTAATAATCAAAAAGAACTACAAGAGACACTACAGTGTTAACATTTGCTTTTATTTGTTGTCGGTAGCAACGTTATATGTTTCGGCTCATTTCTTGGGTCATCTTCAAGTGTACATGAACATTAATTTAGCTTATGAATTGCGTCATTAGTCAATATGAATTCATACTGTGTCTGTATGATTATTCTATACTGACAATTATATCTTAATTTTAAAATGTAGTTCAAATATAGTTAAACTCGACTGATAAACCTCTCTATCTATGGCTCTACAGCTCTTTGCTGGACCTTCGCCGCATTTTCAGTTTCTTAATCCTATACACAGTCGGTTAGATTCCTTGGACGGGGGGATCAGCCTGTCGCAAGGCCGCTACCTACACACAGAGCAACACAAACACAGAATATCGGATACAGACACTCGTGCCTCGAGTGGGATTCGAACCCACAATTCCAATATTCGAGCGGGCGAAGACATTTCATGTCTTAGACCGCGCAGCGACTGTGATCGGCACATGAACCCATTACTCACCTTAATCTAGAACCGAGGTGAAGGAAAGCCCCTTACACGTTGCAATAAATGGTGCTTAACCACAGGGACAAATTCACCTCCATCTTGATCTGGGTTACTGACGGATATCATTTAAAACGAGCCAAGACAGCATTCCCTAACATTAATTCCAACATGCCTTATTCGCCGATACTCTAGCTGATGTAAGGACTTTGCTTTCTTGTTCTCTAAGTACCACGTGCCGAACGAAGGATGAAACCACCAATTTAAGGGCCCAAAATGTTATAATGTGCTGCCTACATAAGGTCATATCACAGCTGGGCAGGGGGGATGAGTTGTGGAACGATGAATAACAGGGAAAGGTTGAATAAACTAACAGATAACCTTAGTTTAATTCGACTTAGCCCACCAGGAATCTCACATAAGTCATTAGGGACTAAACCGGGTCTCCGTGGTGAGAAGCAAGCGTTTAACCACCCAATCTATCATCATACGGCCTTCAGATGATATCGCTACCTTAAAATGAAAAACTAATCAACCGTTTTGAATTAATCGTGCATAATATATTGAGCCGAATGAGGTGAATGGCAGAAACTGAATTTCAACGGAATACAGAATAATATACAAAAAATCGAAGGGTTCTATTTAAACAGACGAGTATTAACCCTTGACCTGTGCAGAAGCACACAGAAAAGTAACGACAAAGCTTACCTAGAAAAATAGGCACCCGATAACATTACACGCCTCCGACCTAATCTATCACGATTGCCGTTGTATATAAAGGCGCGTCCATATTACTCGTGCTCGTGTGCCTCGCGAGTAATGTGGACGATATGACAAGTCACGAGATAAGAAAATTTAAAATTTGTAATTTAAAAACTATAGCCAATAAATTAAAATACGACTACAGCCTATACACACCACGAGTAAATATACGGATCCTCACGCGCCGAAGTCTGGCGAGCAACTGAAGTAATGTGGACGAAGATTTACGAGCACAAATAAAAGGCAGACGAGTCTCCCGACGAACACAAGCCTGGCGAGCACGAGCACGCGTAATGTGGACGCGCCTTTAGACTAAGGCCTCCAAGGTCCCCTCCAACATCATAACGTCCAGTACTACATAACAATTTTTCAGGAAAATGACGATAGCTCAAGACAAAGAGACTACTGTCGGCAGAGCCATCTACCGGAAAATTTGGTAATACAAGCAACCAATGCATGTATCAATCTTATAGCCTTACTGTTACTACACTGTATAATCACGTGCATCATCATTACGACTTCACGGTATACAGCAGGGATGTCCAACATGTGGCACTATCTTAATAGTATGGACGCGCCATAGCTCAAGCGGTTAGTCGCTGGCTTCCCACCGCGGCGGCCCGGTTCTGGTCAAGTGTGATTTGTGGTGGACAAAGTGGCGCTGGGGCAGGTTTTCTCCGAGTACTTCGGTTTCCCCTGCC